AGGTAAGTAAGCAAGCAAGCAAGCAAGTAAGTATGTAAGTACTGTTGTTCATCCTTCGATTTTCGATTAGTTTAAATTAAACGACTTGCCGGTATAAATATCAAAGGTGATTTAAATCGTTAACAAAAACACACCGAGGATCAATTAGCCATAGTAACTGAGCACCCAGCGGGAGTGTTGCCTGTTGAATTCCGGTCCTTATCGTCTGAGAAAACCTCCTGATTCTGTTGTCCTCTAAACCCAAACAGAATGCGGTGCTCTAAAATTGCACGATGACTAATCTTGCGCAATTATAGGAACTGAACCTGAATTCAGTTCAGTACCGTGAATGCGTTGTATGCTAATAGTCTTTGTTGCTTCATTAGCAGACAGTGTTGAAAGATTCAGTGTTGCGTTACAGAGATGAAACCTACAACTTTAAATGTGAAACGAGCAATCTGAAGTCTTGTAATAAAACTTGAACTGATCTTTCATTCATGATAATTACATATCTTTTCGTTAATCCAATCTTGGATAAGAAAGCGACCGTCAGTTGAAGAAAACCGTTGGTTTCTTAATGAATACTATTTTCATCGTGCCTCTTCTTTCCAAACTATTGTCAAGAGTATCATATGCGCCTGAAAAAGTCATCAGACGTTTGTCATATGGTACAAGTAATTGTAAAACGAAATTTCCAAGATTTCTGGTTGACTGTTTAAAATTACAATTAATTAACAAGAAGGAAAGATAGTAATGAAGGTAGAAAGAAACGTAGCGAAGAAGCGAAAGAAGATCGTCAAAAATCAATGAGATTCACAAACTTGGCCACGAAGAATGTTTGTTAGGTATTGAGAATGAAATGTACTCATGGAATTTATGTTAGATGCTAACACACAAGAATGTATTTTAGGTAGTCACAGAAACGTCGGTAGCAGTTTATCATCGTACGAACCGCCTTTCTGCGTTGTACAGAAAAAATTAGAAAGACTACCGAAAGATGGATGAGGGAATATTCAACGGTAGAGTAGAATAAGAACCGTATCATCTCGCTTTAAACCAAGTGGCCAGCATCCATCTCGCACAAAAGCGTTATTTGCATCTTACAGTCTACCTCTTGAACAGATGATGACACTACGGTAATTGCAATGTGTATAAATCAGTCGGTCGGTTTTGATGACTACCAATTAGTTCGGCTTGCGGAGGCAGGCGCGTCAGACAGAGCCTCCAACGTTTCCGCTTCTATGTCAGTGTTTGAGTTTTGGATTCGTTAGACGTGCACAAACCATTGCAGCTGTGACTTCTCAATCCCAGAGAAGCTGCTTCGTGTAGAGACAAGTTTTAATTTCGTGTGGGGTCGCTTAATTTCTGTGATTGCTGTTGCTCTGCAGCACATGCGATAGACATATGTTCATTCACTTATTTATTCATTCATTCCATTCATACGTCTGTTTTCTGACCCCTTCGTTAGTTCGTTTATTAACTCATTTTTGTGCACTGTGTACACTGCTCTTCGTTTCGAGTCGCGAGGACAGCAGCTTCAGTAGGTGTTTTCACTGGCGCTCTCATTTGCCTGTGACGCATTCACAAGCAGCTTGGTGCCAGACGTTCATTACACTGAGCCATCTGTCCCTTTGGTATACGTCCTTAAGCTGTTCACGTGACATTGCGTAGAAGCTCTTTTTTGCGAGTCTCCCTTCTTGGATCCTAACATTGTGTGCGAACCACCGCATTTGTGATCAGTTGATTAAAGGCTCAGACAGCTCAATTATTTTTTTTATAGATCTCTGACTAATGGGGCTTTAAAATATTTTGAATTAATTAAATATTAATCTCTGGGTTTGTTTGAATTTCAGTTCTTTTAAGTGCTTTTATGATTTATCCAACGGTCAGTATACTGTTGCTTTTGATGTAACGACTTCTTATAGTTTACTTTGCAACACATTTCTCTCTGGTTCATAGCTAAAAATTACTTATGCACCTTAAACTTAGTTGCTATCAGCCTGATGAAATATCTTTTTTAATATACAGAAATGCAATAGACAAAAAGTTGAAAATAACAGAAACAGTCGTGGGAAATAATTATCCTCTTAACCGACAAGATTGTGAACTGCAGCTATGTATAAAAGTTTTTCTTATAGTTTTCATACTTGTCTTCTAGAATACTGTTATTCTCCTCGCGGGTTCTATTAGCTTTTGAGATTCGCACTTCTTTAAGTTTTAAATATTGTTTGTCATATCGCAGTGTCAAAGTGGATCGCTTTATCAGTAGTTGGCAACTTCAGGGCTTTCCTTCTCTTCTATAACCATGAAAGCCCACTTATTAACAAACTACGTTTCTAAGTGTTTATTTTTTATACCTGGTTTTCTGATGGCAGTAATTACATGAGCATGTCTTAGAAAACTTCAAGCTAATTGCTGACGGAAGAGTGCCGGTGATGTTTGCCAATGGTCTGGCAGCTCCGCTGTCCGGCTTGACGGTTGCCATAACGACGAATTTTTTGGACGTGTTTCGAACAAATATACAAGTATTATTTTCTACAGTAACTATTTTATTCTTGTATGTTGAAGTAGACACAAGTGGTTCAATGAACTGACAATTTGCTGCTTGAACTGACTCATCGTTTAAAGATTATTTTTTAGTCTATGACAATAAAATATACTTATTAGTAAAAGCAAATAATAAGAGTATAGTGCGTGAGACTGAGTTTCATTGTTAG